AATAGATGATATCAGTCTTTTTCTGTAAAAGGATAAGATCTTTAATAATAAAGAGAGTCATCAATTATGAAATTATTGAATAAAATTGGCATTGGTTTCTGAAGGATCATCAATAGTAATAATCAAGTCAGGGAAGAGAGTAGGACTCCAAATGAATCTATTTGATTGTCTCAGCTCAATTGAATTTAAAAGACTGAGTTCAATTCAGTCATTTATCACAGAACAACAAATCGTAAAGGTTCAAGACGAATCCTTATCAGAGTTTGAACGCGATCAAGTTATTTTAACCCATAGAGGAACTTTTCCTTAATATACAGGTCGTGTTTACTTGGCAAGCTTTTGGATATTTCGTGGTCAAATTTTTACAAGGTATTTGTTTTTCTACAATCTTTAGAAGTCTGTCAATATTAGAAATATTCTGTTAGTCGGAAAATCAAATGATTCGATTTGATTAAATCTGGACTTGATTTGAATCTTAATCACATCATGAATCAATTAAAATTACTAGATGATTAGTTAATTCTTTATTTATTTACAAAAAATTGGTCATAGACATTAAGACGTGATCAAATTATTTAGACATGTCGAAATTATTAGATAAAAACTTATCAAGTAAAAAATATAATTAATAACCTTACTCGGTGATTAGTTGTAGCATCCTCATCTTTGACATTATAAATTCCAATTCCTTTCTTCTGATAACCTTCCAGCTTCACTAACCTGATATATATATCCTAATTCTTAATAGTTTCCATTATTTAATTCCATTAATTCTGGATTATTCCTTCGCTGATTGTAAACCATGACAAATGAAAAAGTAAAATATTGGAGTAATTCCATACTTAGCACCTGAGTATTATCAAAAAAAAAATATATACAAAAGGATCAGGCATTTACAATGTTGGTATGGAAATATGGGAGTTCACTACAGGAAAGAAACCATTCTTTTTTGTTTAATAAATAAGCACTTTTGTGGTCGGAAATTAAACAATAGGATTTAATTGTCCATTTAATTATCAAAGTGATATAGATTGAGGTTTTGATTTGGTTTTGTTTGTTTGCTTTGGTATAAAGCAAAGGTTTTACTTCACCTGTAAATTGTCTGTGATACTGTATCACAAAATTCAAAACTTAATTTCCCAGCCCAGCTTCCTATAATTAAAACCATCAACACATATAAAAATATAGTACTTTTTATCTCCCAAAGTTAGATTTATTCTAGTGTATATTATATATTATTATATTATTTATAATGAATAATAAGTGCTTTAATAATCAAAAAATGACTAACATATTTATATTAAATGTAAGAAACTAAGCTTTAGGGAGATGCCCAATATAAAAGTTACAAAAAACAAAAAGTTTATTCCACCAAATATAAAAATTTTTTTTTGGGTGAACTTGGATGCAGTTGAACAGATTTTCGTCAATTTTGTTATCTCTGCTATAATAGATTTATATACATGATCGGCGACACACAAATTTTAATTCTATTTTTATTCTAAAGACATCAAATGCTGCGCCTTTTGTCGAAAAATTTTAATATTAATGATCTTTCAGGTAAAATATTTAATTCCAACAGTAGACAAAGCAAAATGTCAGTAAATAATCAAAAAAATCACTTAAAAAAATCAAAAGGACAATAATGATACAATGTTAGCATGATATAACAATCATTTATTAATTTAATGTTCTATTTTATATCTTAAACCAGTTGTTGAATTATTAAGAAAAAATCGTTGACAAAAAAAAAACTTCCAAATACTAAAAATCTCTTCCCACCGGGGCGCAGCCAAAAAAAGAGTCAAATTTTTCTAGAAAACATTAAAACAACTTCGTATAAATATTAAAAAAGACAAACCTCCAACTTCAAGAATAGTTGCGGGAAGGGAAGTGAGTCGATGAAGAAGTCAGTTTTTTGTAAGAATACGAAACAAAAACTTTTACTAATAAAAGATTCAACAACAAAAATAATATTTATTGTTTTCAATAAAAAGATAACAAGTAACAACACAAATTTCAAGAAACAATGGTGAGTTTTTCGACGTTCCTTGACAAGATGTCTTACATGATCAATGAAATGGGGTGCTTCTTTTTTTTAAGAAAAGAGGCCACGTAGAGATGTGTACGACGTCAAGTCGCTTCAAACGGATACTTTTAGTATTATAGGGGGGTGGGCATTTAAAAATTGTTTTATTTTTATTTTTTTTGTTAATTCATATGTAAAGTTCAACCAAATAAAATGTCACGGGAAGACTACGTCGTTAAAAAAAAATCGTTTTATAAATCACGTGATAAAATTTGATCTACGTTCGTTTTCTGATTGGTCAAATTAATTTGATTGGCGTGCCGAATTAGATATGGTGCACAATAAATAGGGATGGGACAGTTCCAAATTGGTTCCAAGTAAATTGCTAATTCTAGAACGGATTTTTTTCTTACAAGCTACTAATTAAGTTGAATTTGTTTGCAGTAACGATTTAATATGAATTACTATTGGAGATAAGTAACAGGATTTCTTGAGAATCCAGAATCTTTAGAATTATAGGAATTTGGAACTAAGGATGTTAGCTGAAATAGTTTTTGAAAAAATCAATTTTGGCAAGCAATTTCGGATTTACAATATTCTTTATATCAATAGACATAAAAAATTGAAAATAATTACACGTATAAATGGTAGGATGAAGTTAATGCTATTGCACAAGATGTCATTAACAATGGTGAAATTAGACTTGATTAAAGAAAAAAACACTTTGAAATTTTATTTAATATTATTAAATATATTTATTTACAAAATTTTCTTATTTTAAATAAACTCTTTCTACACTATATTATTACTACTACAATTAAGCAAATAAAAAAAAAATTTTCATTCATGTTTATTTATTATTTATTTGGTATAATGTTTACAACATTGATTAACTTATACTTTGTTCTGTTAATTTACTTTCCATTGACATCACAGAAGATGTTGAGGTAAATAAAGGTAAACACCATTTATTGGGGTATTCAATATTGGTTGATAAATTTATATATATGTGGATTTTTTCATGAAATTTATAGTATCAAAACTTTAAACTGTTATTTCTCCTGCAAAATTTGTCTGTTTGCAAAAAATTAAAATGTTTCAATTGAAAACTGTATGTAGAATACTGATACAGTGAGAATATGTTAATTTTATATGGTTTTTGAAAGTTTTATATAATAGAGCAAAAAGTATTGCAATCAAGGAAAATTTTGAATGAATATTTTACAATAGTGAACTTTTTAAAATGCAAATAACTCTGAGTTTTTAAAATACTATCTATTTACTATCTTTTCACACACATTTAATACCTATATTGTTGAAAATGGGGAAGAAATAACAATTTGAAAACTGCATGTTTTCTTGGTATGTAGATCATTAAAAAAATTACATATAACCAATCAGCATCGTGGACATTTGATTTCATTGGCTAAATTATGTTGTGATCTCCCTTCCAGATATCACGCAAAAATTAAATTTATTGGCTTGAAGATCATTATGCA